AAGATATAGAAACTTATCTCAGCTCATCAGATGTGAGTTTCTGCTTGTTATGAAGTTTGCTTCTGGTACTCTGCTATATTTATGATGGAATCACCCAACTGGGGGTTATTTTTGAGCCTAACAGCCTAACACTGGCAACGAAGATCTGCATAGTCAAAGCAATGGTATTCCCTGTAGTAACCTAGGATGTGAGAGCTGGACCTTAGGGAAGGCTGAGCGAAGGAAGATCGATGCTTTTGAACTGTGGTGTTGGAGGAAAGTTCTGAGAGTGCCTTGGACTGCGAGAAGATCCAACCAGTCCATCCTCCAGGAAATAAAGCCCGGCTGCTCACTGGAAGGAAGGATACTAGAGACAAAGTTGAAGTACTTTGGCCACATCATGAGGAGACAGCAAAGCCTAGAGAAGACAATATGCTGGGGAAAGTGGAAAGGAAAAGGAAGAGGGGCCGACCAAGGGCAAGATGGATGGATGGTATCCTTGAAGTGACTGGACTGACCTTGAAGGGGGTGGTGACGGCCGACAGGGAGCTCTGGCGTGGGCTGGTCCATGAGGTCACGAAGAGTTGGAGACGACTGAACGAATGAACAACAACAACAACAGCTCAAATTCCCCAAAAGGAATCTTGGTCTTTGTATGGTTTTTATAATATATGCCAAATGTTTTAAAACTGTGTTTTTTGTTTGTCGTGGCATTGAATTGCTGCCAACTTGTAAGCTGCCTTGAGTCGCCTTCGGGCTGAGAAAGACGAGATAGAAATACGGTAAATAAATAAATAAAATATCAAATTATGTTAATGTATTGCTTAACTCCAAACATCTGTAGAGTTGCACAGGATGCAAATTGCTAATGTGTGTGCGTTTGTTGCTGTCGTAATGATTACCATGATGTTATTGTTGGTGAGGTGTACTATAGATTTTAGTACCTTGCAAGGATCTATGATCTTAAAAAGGGTTAACCACAATTGCTATAGAGATATTTCCAAAGATTTTTTAAAAATTATTCCAGAAGATATTTGAATCACAGGCCATCACAACATGGAGAAGTCATCCAGTGACTCATTATTTGTATACTTAATCTGAACCTTTCCCTCACAGATCTCCTTGCTTCGCTCAGAGTTGGAGAAGGTGGAACAGGCTGTAACAACCTTTCAGAAGATGACTATGAAGTAAAGATTGCCTTTGGATAGGAACGAGTAATGAGAACCAGCAGAATTAAATGTATTCCAGATAACTGGATACATTCTGAGACGGTAGAGACCAAGCACTGGGGAAACTCCTGGAAAGTTCATAGAGTCCTGAAGCAACACATTTTGTGATGGAGCTCATCTGCTGAGATCAGTGTGTACTGGCTTCGTTTGGCCATTGGGAGTCAACAGCTAAATTCTAGAAACCTCTTTATGCAGAGTTGCAACAAAACACATAGCACTTCCATAAAAGGGATATTTCTGTGTAGCAAAGTTCAACTCGGTTGCAAGGGTTGAGAGCCATAAGAAGGTATAAAAACTCCTGTTTGACCAGTAGTGGTCACTCTTTTGACTCAGGAAAGCCACATATTATTCATATTTCTTGGAAGATATAGCGTCAGATATTAAAATTCTCTCTGCATTCTGCCTGATTCTTCTCAAGTGATGAATTCACACACTGTGTATATATAATTCCGGTTTGCAGCCACTTGTCAACGGTTCACCTAATCATGGAGCTTTGCTCTTGTGAGAGCATCAAAAAAGCTTTTGGGAAGGTTTCAGTATATTATATCAAAGTTTGCATGAGTTGTACTCCAGGAATTGTTGAAATACTTCATTTGGAGAAAAATTACACAAAGGACCATTGGCTGGTCATATTAATGATACAGATTTGAAAGGTTCTGACTTTGAAAAAAAGGCATGTGTTACCAGAACTTGAAGTGAGATATTCGATGGTTTGAAATGTATATACTTTATTAAAATGAAATGGCAAAAACATCTCTTGAGTGTTGTCGAAGGCTTTCATGGCAGGAATCACTGGGTTGCTGTGAGTTTTCCGGGCTGTATAGTCATGTTCCAGAAGTATTCTCTCCTGATATTTTGCCCACATCTATAGCAGGCATTCACACCTACCTCCAACAGACAAGAGTTCTTTCTCCCACCCTGGACATTCCACAAATATATAAACTCCATTTTCCTAGTTTCCAACAAACTTCACAACCTCTGAGGATGCCTGCCATAGATGTGGGTGAAATAAATAAATAAATAAATAAATAATAAACTTTATTTATACCCCGCCACCATCTACCCCAACGGGGACTCGGAGCGGTTTACATGGGGCCAAGCCCGAACAACAAATTACAATACAAAAATACAAATTGCAATAAAATAAACAACATAACAATAAAGTATAAAACATCAAAGCATATAAACAATATAACCAAAACATAGAAACCAAACATAATGACAGAGAGTGGGCCGCATGTACATAAAATGATTTAAAACTCAGAGTGAAATAAAGGGGCAGAACTGTTTGTAAGGGAGAACTCGTAGATAGACAGAGAAATAAACAAACCTTCGTGCGGGGGGGGGGGGGGGGGCACACCAGGAGAAAATGCTTCTGGAATATGGCCATACAGCCCAGAAAACTCACATCAACCTATCTCTTGAGTTTTTAGTTTTTGTCTAAGAAAATCCTATTAAATATTTGAGTTGCCATAAGTGCACAGGCGAGTGGAAGCCATAAACACGCACACAAAGGCACAAAACAAGCAAACTAGTTGTGTTTTAAATGGCCCTTGCAGACAAGGATGAAAACTAGGATGGGTTGTTTTGGGATATTCTAAAAATATTTTCAGACCATGAATGCTGGAATCCATGGATGCAGAATAAAGTGTTTATGAAACAAAAATTAATGTCATGTTTAGACTTGGGTCCCATGTCTAGGATCTCTCACTATGTACCTAGATGCAAATACAGGTACAGCCAGTCCCCAAGTGACAATCAAGATGGGTTCTGTAGGTTTATTCTTTCTTAAGATCGGGGTATAGGGTGGCAACCTGTGCTGGACGGGGTTGCACTCCCCCTGAAGTCACAGGTCCGCAGTCTGGGGGTCCTCCTGGATTCTTCACTTACGTTTGAGGCTCAGGCGTCGGTGGTGGCCGGGAGGGCCTTTGCACAATTAAGACTCGTGCGCCAGCTGCGACCGTACCTCGTGAAGTCGGATCTGGCCAGGGTGGTCCACGCCTTAGTCACCTCCAGATTGGATTACTGTAATGCACTCTAAGTGGGGCTGCCCTTGAATACGGCCCGGAAATTTCAGATGATCCAACGGGCGGCAGCCAGGTTGTTAACTGGGGCTCCTTACAGGGAGCGGTCAACCCTCCTGTTCAAGGAGCTCCACTGGCTGCCATTCATCTACAATTCAAGGTGCAGGTTTTTACCTACAAAGCCCTGAATGGTTTGGGACCCGCCTACCTGCGTGACCACATCTCCATATACGAACCCACGTGATCCCTTTGATCATCCGGAGAAGCCCTACTCTCAATCCCACCAGCCTCGCAGGCGCGATTGGTGGGGACGAGAGAGAGGGCCTTTTCGGTGGTGGCCCCTCGACTCTGGAACTCACTCCCTAAAGACATCAGACAGGCCCCAACTCTGGCAGTCTTCAGGAGGAGCTTGAAGACGTGGTTGTTCCAGTGTGCCTTCCCAGAATAATGATCCCATAGCACTTTGTCCTCCAAAGCACTTTACATTTCTTTAGGTCTGCTCATATGCCCTTCCATAAACACCACTATCACCTTCTCGTTCATGTCCCAGCATCACTTCCAATTTTAATTTTACATTTGGCCTTCCCACTGTTTTTAATTGTGTGTAATGTTGTATATTTTATTGTCTATGTTTTTTGTTTTTTATTTTAATTACTTGTGTTGTTTTATTGCTTGTATTGTTATATTTGGGCTCGGCCTCATGTAAGCCGCACCGAGTCCCCTGGGGAGATGGTAGCGGGGTACAAATAAAGTGTCATTATTATTATTATTATTATTATTATTAAGTGAATTTTTTTGTAAATCAGAACAGGTACCTTTTTAAAGTATAACTCCAACATATATGTTTTTATTGCATAGGATGTTGGTTTTTTGTTTTTTGCATTTTCCACGCCTACCTTTTTTTTTTCCTGGAGGGGCTTCCTTGTTGCACAACTTTTCATTTCACTTCTTCCTCGACTCAGTAATGGCGGCTACAAATTATGCTACCGCTCTGCAAAAAGAGCTCTTTTGCCCCATCTGCTTGGATTACTTCACCGAGCCGGTGATCCTGAACTGCGAACATAATTTTTGCAGAGCCTGCATCAGCACTTACTGGGACAGCCTGGGCGACAGCTTTCCATGCCCACAATGCAGGAAGAGGTGCCGCAGAGGGAAACTCAGGCCTAATGCGCAGCTGGGGAAAGTGGCCGAGAGAGCCAAAGAGCTGGCAGCCAGGGATACAGTCCTGCCAAGAATGCCTCTGAGGGCTGGGAACAAGCCGCGGCCTGTTGCCAGAGAAGAAATGTGCAAGCAGCACCTGGAGGCACTGAAGTTATTCTGCAAGGATGACGGGGCCCTGATCTGTGTGGTTTGCGACAGGTCTAAAGAGCACAGGAGCCACACAGTGATCCCTGTGCAGGAGGCAGCTGAGGAGTACAAGGTAACCCCATGAAAATACAGCCTGCAGGTGCTGTTTATACTGATCTCGCATTTGCTCAGGACAGTCTTGATTTCTGTTGTCACTTCCTTGTAATTAAAATGGCATCCCTACTTGTGTACGTCAATGTGGGAGAGGGGGAAAACGTAGAATCATAGAGTTGGAAGAGACCTTCAAAAGCTTTCCAGTCCACCCCATTCTGCCATTCAGAGCATTTCCCAATCAAAGCTGGGGATGTTTAGCCAGCAGAAGAGAAGGCTGAGAGGAGACATGATATGGGCCATGTATAAATATATGAAGGCAAGTTATAGGGAGGAGGGAGCAGGCTTGTTTTCTGCTGCCGACTCATGCCAGCAGAAGTGAATACGGCATCAAAGAATGAGCCTTAGGGTAACTTATTTATATTGTCGAAGGCTTTCATGGCCGGAATCACTGGGTTGTTGTAGGTTTTTTCGGGCTATATGCCCATGGTCTAGAGGCATTCTCTCCTGACGTTTCGCCTGCATCTATGGCAAGCATCCTCAGAGGTAGTGAGGTCTGTTGGAACTAGGAAAAAGGGTTTATATATCTGTGGAATGACCAGACAAGAGTCCTTTGTCCCACCCTGGTGTTGTTCTGAAGTTAAAAACAATATGTTTCCTGAGGCTATTACTTCAGTTTGTCCAATATTACATTTTGTCATGAAAAAAACAGAAAAATTAAAAAAAATCATGCATTATTTCCCTCTGTATATTGCTTTTGGCAGGTGCAGTTTCAGCACCACTTGGCCACACTGAAAAGTGAGAGAGACAGCAGAGAGATCCTTGCAATAAACAAAGGGAAGAAACTGGAAATGCTGGTGGTAAGTGTCCCCGCCTCTCTTGTCATTGTCAAGCCTGGGTCAGTTCGCAATTGAGAGACAGTCCTTAAAATAGAGATCCTGCTTGTATTTTATAATAGCATCATTTAGCACAGAGGTGGGAATTATGCAACCTTCGTGATTATATGGAATTTGAAGATCCAGAACTGTGTGAGTACAGAATAACATTAGAAAATAGCTTCTTTAGAAGCTCTACTTCCATTTCTTTTGTATTTAGAGATTATGGGAATAGTAGTAGTTGTTGTAGTTCACACACACATATAACATAACACAGCAGATCACAATAGAATGGCTAGACCTAGTGTGTAGCACTGAGGAAATTTTCATCCTGGGGCAAAGCTATTCAGAGGGTGAAGGACATGACAGCCTTAGCATTGAACGGTTGTGTTGTTAAAGTGCGAAGTTTGGAACCCTGCACAGACGGTCGGTCAATGTGACTTAAGCAGCGTGCAGTCATTGAATTCTTGGTAGCAGAAGGTGTCACCACAACATCTTTAAACTTACTTGCCCAACGAGGCACAGTACTCACATCAACACAATCACCATAAACAGCTTGCATTCTTTGATGAATCTCCTTTGGGGTGACACCTTTTGCTTTCAGGAATTCAATGACTGCACGTTGCTTAAGTCGCATTGACCAACCGTCTGCACAGGGTTCCATACTTTGCACTTTAACAACACAACCGTTCAATGCTAAGGCTTCCTGCCAAAATGGAACTGTAGAGGAGAGTGTACTGAACAAGCCAGTACCTGCCGCATACCAGTACTGCCATCTGTTGAGGAGTTACGAAGGTGGAGGCATTACTTTTCATTCAACGCTCGTAGATTGCCACCTGCTTCATACTTTGGGGTGAGGTGGGCTTTTGAAGACAATGTCTGACATTACCTCCTCTGTAGAGTCGTGCAGAAGCAGAATATCAACGAACCGCCCTTGTATTCCGGGAATTAAGGAAAAACCTTCAGGACAGGGAGCACTCTCTCCTTCAAGGGCTGTCCAAAGTCAGCAATGACTTGAAGCAAATGCAGCGGGAGAATGAGAGCAAGATTCAGCAGGGAGCTCCACTTCTACAAGGATTGATCCTGGAACTCGAGCAAAAGTGTCAACAATCAGATACCGAGTTCCTCAAGGTAAAATTAGATGGCCAAGAAGGGGGAGTCTGTGTGTGTTTATTTATTTATTTTACCCATAAAGAGATATGAGTAAAATTACAATTGGAATACAAATCCCATACTCATCAACCAGCATGGCCAGCTTTTGCTGAGGAATTCTGGCAAATTGTAGTTCAAAATGAACTTTTTTGAGTTTTCCCAAAACTTTTCATTTCTGGCCCAAGCAGATGATAACACAGTTGTTATTATGTATCCATGGGATCTGCATCCACAAATTGAAAATATTAAAAGAAAATGCAAAAAGCAAGCCTTGACTTTGCTATTTTATATAGAGGACACCATTTTACTACACCATTGTATATAACTGAATATGGATTTTGGTATCCATTGAGGAATCTTGGAACCAAACCCCAGTGGATACCAAGGGCCCACTGTACAGATATTGATGGGAGTAAAGGCTGTCCACAAAGGAGAAATTCCCAGTATTTCCAATAGTATAGTGAAAGGTTGCAAGCCCTTCTTGGTTACAACTCTCTGGCTATCTGAGCAGCAAATGTTTTTGCATTGCTTTCCACTACCTCAGATTTTTTTTCAAGACACACATGCTCTCTTCCAGTAGAAGAAGTGGTAGCACTTCAGTAGTTCTGGTGCATTGTGGAAGTTTTAGTCCACGGCATCATCCCATTTCTTTTGACCTGTTTATCTACCCTTTGGGAATTCCTGTTTCTCACATCTCTGCTTTTCCCCCATCTCTTTTTTAGGATGTTGAAAGCTACCTAAACAGGTAGGCAATTGCTTGGCTTTGACCTTTTAAAAAAATTGATTCTTTCTGTTTCATTGTTTAAGTTACAAGAGCAGGAATAGGCACCCTACCCTATGTATTCATGCATAAGTCAATTTTTTTGGTCAAAAATCTATTTAAAACCTGGGGCAACTTATCTATATGTCAATATGAATACTATACCTGAATTCTCTCTCATATATATATATATATGGAAAGAATTTGGGTATAATACTGATATTGACATATAGATGAGTTGCCCCAGGTTTGTGATACACACACACACACATACCCATACCCTTCTCGGATTCGGATGGCAAAACGTAAGAACTCAGTCCATCCTGGGAAAGGGTAAAAGAAGCACAACAGTCTATACTTTCTCCACCATGGTTGCTTCTGATATTTTTGAATGCCTTGGATGGGAAGTGCCTGTGGCTAAGGGCAACTGTCCTCCTGAAGTTGCATTATTTGGCATGACTTATCCACAAGTCATACCAAAATCCATACCAAAATCCATTGTTATGGCCCTAAAACCTTCCCTTGACAAGAGGCCGACTTATACATGGGTATATATGGTAAATGACCTATGGATGGTTTTGACTTTGTTTTTGTTATGTGCCATCAAGTTGACTTCTGAATTACAGGCCTTCAAGAGCCACTCTCATCAGCAGCTCTGTTCAGGTCTTAAAAACTCAGGCTCATGGCTTCCCCAGTTGCTTTTCCTACTGCCTTCCACTTTAGCTAGCATTATTATATCTTCCAATGTGTTGTGTTGGCTCTTTAGTAAGAATTCAAGCTCCATTTGTTCTCTCTCTCTCTCTCTGTATGTGCCTTGAATTTGCCTGCCAATTTATGGTGACCCCCTAGATTTCAAATGGTTTTCTAAGGCAAGGAATCCTCAGAGGGCGTTTGGCCAGCTCCTTCATCTGAAATCTAGCTTATAGCACCGGGTATTCATTCTTGGTCTACCATTCAAGAATTTATTTATTTACCATATTTGTATACCACCCTTCTAAGCATGACTGACCCTACTCAGCTTCCAATAACAGACAGAAGTTGGTAGTTAGGTTATTTTGGCCCTATAGGACCCATTCATTTCTTTGTTGTTATTTTGGTAATCCATACTATCCACTGAATTCTCCTCTGGGACCATATTTCAAAAAGCCTTCACAAATACATCGATATTGAAAATACTCTGGTATGAATGATTCTGGCATCAGTATTTAGTATTTGGATTATGGCTCCTATAATTCTTCACTGTTGGCAATTGAAATTATAATTCAAAAGCCATCATGTTGGCTATCAATATGTTTGGAAAGCCTGGCATGCAAAATCGAGGTGGGCTGGGCAAATCAATAGGTTTTCCACTACAACCAGCAATACCATTAGGCAGAGAGCAGCAATCACCTCAAAGTAACGATTTTTAGGTGAAAGATTAGCAAATATTTCCTTACTTATTGTATTCTTCTTGCCAGAATAAGGTAACTGCTTTGGGACATAGTGACTGGGCATTCAGACAATGTGACCGGTCTGGGGAGAGCTACTTATGTGATATTCTTCTTTCTATATCCAGGGAACATTAAAAAAATCAGATTGTGTTTCCTACTTAAGACATGAAATTCACTGGGTGACCTTTGGCCTCTTTCAGTCTGTTTGGCCTATCTCTTAGTGGTTTTGTGTGAACTAAGTGGAAAGTAGGAAAGTCATATAATTATCCTTGAGACCACAGGAGGAAAAGCACTACACAAAAAGGATGAATGAACGAATTGTATGTTAGACCTCTGGGCTTCTATAGCTCATCTGGCCTCAATCCACTCAGAAATACAGAGAAAATGAGGATACGGTATCTACTGCTGATGACTGTTCTGTCTCTTTTCTTTCTCACTGAAGGTATAAAAGTTGGAGCTTTCCAAAGTGGACACCAGTGTCCACAACAGAACTGGAAGAGAGGCTTTCTCATTTTTCCCATAAGAAGACAGTTCTCTGGGAGCACATGACTGAGATGCGAGGTTAGTCATACCATGTCTTCCTGAGTGCCAGTCTGGTGTAGCATAATGGTTGGAGAGCTGGGCTGGAATGGGACTTGGGAAATCTGAGTTGAGATCCCCACAAATCCATGAGACGTGCTGGGCAACCTTGGGTCAGTTACCCATTCTCATGTTGACTTCCCTCAGAAGCTTATGAGGATAAAATGTAAAAAAGTAGAACCACTTTGGACTCATTAGAGGAATGGTGGGAAGTGCATTTGGGTCTTGGCAGTTGCAAGTTTGACTTTTGTGGATTTGATGCTTCACAGATCTGATTAAAATGTTATGTCTGGGAATCTCTAGGTCCTCCAGAGCAACTTCAGTCTTGCTGGAGGATCTAGCGATTCATATAGAGAGCACTTCTCTAGGATACTCCAGGTTCTCCAATGTGATTCTGCAGTCAGCCTCAAGCAGAATTCACAATACAGTCATAGAATAATACAATCATAGAATTCTTGAGTTGGAAGAGACCTCGTAGGCCATCCAGTCCAACCCCCCTACCAAGAAGCAGGAAAATAATATTCAAAGCACCCCTGACAGATGGCCACCCAGCCTCTGTTTAAAAGCCTCAGAAGAAGGAGCCTCCACCGCACTCCAGCACACAATTATTATTATTACTATTATTTTTTGAAACACAAAAGATGAGTACACAGCAAACAAGGTCACTATGCTGGCTTGTATTGGATCACACGTTGGACACTTCCCAAGTGTCTAGGACTGTGTGATGTATTGGCAGATCCCAGTAAGGTGGCGTTTTGTAGCTGGCAGATGCTAATTTTGTCAGCGCCAATTGTGTTTAAGTGCAGACCAAGGTCTTTAGGCACTACATCCAGTGTGCCAATCACCATTATTATTACAACATTTGAAAAAAAAATCTGTTCCTGGTTTGAAAGTGTTATTCCCGTTTAATTATGTGGTACTTACTTTGAAAGTAGTTGTTATACTCCAGAAACTTCGTTTTTGTCACTACCATGAACTACGTTGAATTGGTTGAGACCCGGTGAGATATTCATTGAAAAACTAGAGAAAAATGTGCTGCGGAATGTCCTACAAAAACAAAGTTTTTGCAGTTTAGTAATTTTTTTCCATGTTTTATGATATAATCAATTGGGAAATGACCTTTATAACCCAGGAACAAAAAAAGTGTTACATAGTGTTATACATTGTTTTGTTTTTAGAATTGTTAGCTGCTTTGAGCCTCTTTTAAGAGAGAAAAAGTAGGATATAATAATAATAATAATAATAATAATAATAGTTGTCATCTAAAGTAGTGATTTTTTATTAATCAATTTTCAGTTTTGTGGGTGCCCAGTGCCCCTAGCCTAGTGAATGTGGAAGGTAAATATAACAGGAATGGAATTTATTCATCCTGCTGCTCGGTATCCTCTGTTACAGAGATCTTGACCTTGGATCCTGATTCGGCTCACCCCAGCCTGGTTATTTCAGCCAACCGGAGGACTGCAAGTCGCAGGGACATTTGCCCAACTCATTGCAACACTTCCAAAAGATTCTACCCTTCTTTTTGTGTCCTGGGCTCTGAAGGTTTCACAGGAGGCCGTCACCATTGGCTGGTGGATGTGAAAGGCCAATGTGGTTGGGCCCTAGGGGTTGCGCAGGAATCTGTGGATAGGAAGAAGCCAGTGGTGCTTCAACCAGAATGTGGGATTTGGGCTGTGGAGCTTGGCCCCTGCCAACTCTTTCCAGTAACACCAGCCTCCAAAGAAGAGACGGAGATCTCGACCCGCAGGATAGTTGTGAGGTTGGACTACGAAGGAGGCCGATTAACATTCTCTGATGCACAGGACTCCAAACCTCTCTTTACTTTCAGGACCTCCTTCACAGAAAAACTTTACCCATTCTTTTGGCTGTGGTCCCGTCAGGCTTCTATCACACTCTGTTCCTGAGAGAAAGAGAGGGTGACTATGTGAAAGGCCAACGCAGTTGGGTCCTAGGTGCAGCTCAAGAATTTGTGGCAAAGAAGAGAGTGACCTGGAGTTGTTAAAAATGCAGCTTCCATCAGCAGTGATGGGTTATACCAGTAAGAGTAGGGACCGGTTTTCTGCACCTGGTACATTCTGTGAAAGGCCAGTCCTGAGTTACAGACATCCAACTTACATATGACTCCTAGTTAAGAACTGAGGTGAGACAACAAGAAGTGAGAGAAATCTACCCCTAGGAAGGGAAATTCACCCCTGAAAGAGTTATCATGGGGAAAAGGGGTCTCCATTGAAGTTTTCTTGCCCATCCTTGTTTCCACAACAAACCAAACAAGCCTTTGTGATGAGGTCGTAAATCAGTGGTTCTCAACCTGTGGGCCCCAGATGTTTTGGCCTTCAACTCCCAGAAATCTTAACAGCTGGTAAACTAGCTGGGATTTCTGGGAGTTGTAGGCCAAAACACCTGGGGAACACAGGTTGAGAACCATTGTCCTGGGCTGATGTTGTCTTATGGCAACCCTATGGATGAGAGACCTCCAGGCCACCCTTCCTAATATAGCCCTGCTCAGATCTCGCAGACTCAGGGCTGTGGCTTCCCTTATTGATTTCATCCTTCTATATTGCAGCATTTCTCCTTTCCTATTGCCTTCTGACTTCCCGATCAATATTGTCTTTTCTAGTGAGCCATGCCTTCCCATAATATGCCTTCCCATAATATGCCCAAAGTACTACAGTCTCTGTTTTGCTACATTGGATTTTAAAGATCTTATATCAAGTGACCCAGGTTTAAAACTTGAATTTCCTAAAAGACCATTAAATGAATTTTGGTTTGAGATTAGGACATAATTTCTAATAATTTCTGAAATGTCTCTAAACATATTTCTGCCTATGCGGATTGCAGTGGCACAACGGGTTGCTGAACTTGCTGAACTGAAGGTTGGCAGTTCAAATCCGTGAGATGGGGTGAGTACTTGTTTTTAGCCCAAGCTCCTGCCAATCTAGCAGTTCGAAAACATCCAAATGTGAGTAGATCAATAGGTACTGTGTTGGTGGGAAGGTAAAAGGGCGTGTCATGAAGTCATGCCGGCTACGTTAGGAGGTATCTATGGACAATGCAGGCTCCTGTTATGGCTCAGCAGGAGCCTCAGGAGGAGCTGGAAGAGGATGATGGGTTTCAGATCCCTGAACATGTTCCTATTGTTGATATAGATGATGTTGATGCTGAAGACGAGGAGTTCCAGTTTCCCATGGGAAGGGATGTTGTCTTAGAAGATGTTTCTGATCTTAGTAAAACTTCACAGGTGCAGGTGGAGGAGGCGAGCCAGCCTGTGAGCTCTCTGCCTGCTGATTCTCAGGCTGCTGATTCCCAGCTCCAGGATAATGAGTTATTTGACCCTGAAGGCTCTCCACAGTTAGATAAGGAGGGTCACTTGCAACTCAGGGTTCGCCATAGTACAAGGCTTGCAAACAAGAGAGAGGTTAGAGGTCAAAGGAATGCTTTCATGCTGGGAAAGTATATTTAGTGAGCTGATTGAAGGCAACCTTTTGTCAGTGCAACTTCAGCGAACACCCTGATAACTTCTCTGGATTGCCTCGGCTTTTGGGCAATGCTTTTGGCTTCTTGGACTTTGAATTGGACCTTGGTTTCTTGGGACTCTGTCATGCTGCCATGGAATCTTGTTTGATCAATGCTTATGGATTATGCTTCATGGATTTTGCCTTTGAACTTTTGCAACTTTACATTTGTGTTTAAGACTTTGCCTTTTCTTTAATAAACTACAAAACCTACAGCCTTGGTGTGTGTGGTGTTCTGAGCAAGGTGAATCTATCCTGAGGTGCGACAGCTCCTTGGCTTGGAAATGGAGACCTAGGACCCAACTACGTTTTCCCCAGAGTCAGAGATGAGCACCACCTTTAGAGCCGGAGATGAAAGGGGAAGCCTTTGCCTTTGTCTGTATATTTGTACTTCATTGTGTTTCAAAGGCATTGAATGTTTGCCTGTACCTGTATATATGCTGGGATCCCCTCGGGGAGATTTTGTTGTTGTTCATTTGTTCAGTAGTTTCCGACTCTTCGTGACCTTATGGACCAGCCCAAACCAGAACTCCCTGTCGGCCGTCACCACCCCCAGCTCCTTCAAGGTCAAACCAGTCACTTCAAGGATACCATCCATCCATCTTGCCCTTGGTCGGCCCCTCTTCCTTTTTCCTTCCATTTTCCCCAGCATCATTGTCTTCTCTAAGCTTTCCTTTCTTCTCATGATGTGGCCAAAGTACTTCATCTTTGCCTCTAGTATCCTTCCCTCCAATGAGCAGTCGGGCTTTATTTCCTGGAGGATGGACTGGTTGGATCTTCTCATGGTTCAAGGCACTCTCAGAACTTTCCTCCAGCACAACAGTTCAAAAACATCTATCTTCCTTTGCTCAGCCTTCCCTATGGTCCAGATCTCACATCCATAGGTGACTACGGGGAAAACCATTGCTTTAACTCAGGGAGAAAGGGCAGAATATAATAAAGTGTTGTTGCTGTTATTGTTATTGTTATGATTATTGTTGTTCAGTGTTCTGAACTCTGAAAGACACTGAAAATGCTCTATGTCCTGCAGTCCCAAATATTCCACCAAGGTTTAATTCTTTAGGTAAAAATGAACAAGTACATGTAGTACATCTCATTAGTATGCAAATTTACCTTTGTCTTTAATAAATGATAAAAATTATGCAGTATTGTTTTGAAATAAATATCAATCAGCTAATGTTTGAATTACATACCTATTTAAAAAATATTGGGAGGCCTGTAAAAATTTCTTGGGCGAAAAAGTGTCATGAGTGGGAAAAGTATAAAAACTCCTGAATTAGATGGCTTCTGTGCTTCCTTTCAACTATGAAATGAAGTACAGTTAGCCTTCCACATTTGCTGTGGTTAAGGACACACAAGATCACTATGAAAGTGAATAAAGATATTGCTGTTTCTTGTTTTTTTCTTTACCTGAGAGAATAATAGAACCCTAGAGTTGGAAGAGACCTCATGGGTCATCCAGTCCAATCCCCTGCCAAGAAGCAGGAAAAAGCACCCCCTACAGATGGCCATCCAGCCTCTGCTTAAAAGCCTCCAAAGAAGGAGCCTCCACCACACTCCGGGGTAGAGAGTTCCACTGCTAAACAGCTCTCATAGTCAGGAAGTTCTTCCTAATGTTCAGGTAGAATCTCCTGAACACAACCTCTGAGGATGCTTGCCACAGATGCAGGTGAAACGTCAGGAGAGAATCCTTCTAGAACATGGCCATACAGCCCGAAAAACATACAACAACCCTGTGATTCAGCCATGAGATCCTTCGACAATACAAAGTTTTTGCAGTTTAATAAACGTTTCCCATATTTTTTAATGATAGAACAAATTAGGAAATGACGCTTATAATCCAGGAATAAAAATCATGTTCCATAGTGTTATTTGTATTTTGTTTCTTTTGTGGCAGTTTTCCTTATATGTTGTTTAATATTATATATTCTGTTATGTTATATATATTTTAAAAAAGTAGTGATGATGAATATAGAATCAGAGAATCACAGTTGGAAGAGACCACAAAGACCCACCAATCTTACCCTCTTCTGGCATTCAGGAATACTCATACATAGTCAAGGCCCATTGAGGAGTGGCTTTGGGAGCTGGGTCTATTAAACTTGAGAGAAGATTGAGAGAGGACGTCAATAGTCAGATACCAATATTTTAAAAGATGTCATATTGAGATGTGTGCGAATTTGTTTTTTTGCTACTCTGGAGACTACAACAAGGAGAAGTGGATTCAAACTGCAGGAAAACTGATCCAACTTAAGCATTAGGAAGAACCTAAACATTAGGAAGGGGGGGATCTAAAGTAAATTTTAAAAAGGAGAAGGGGGCCCTTAAGGTTTCTTATTCCTACATCTCTGGAAACATCAGATTTCCTCTTGCCTTTCCTAGAAATGTTTTGTAAGAGATGGAATAAACAGAGAGAGAGGAAGAGAAAAATGTCATCAAAATGGGAAAACTTGGCTTTGGAAGCTGATTGGTAGCAAAGCCCTTTGTTACCCTTAGCAGCTATAGTTTTCCACATCCCCATCACGGTTTCACGTGCACAAGAATTGCCATCTTTTATTGGAAACACTCCCCTGGTTCACTGGCAACCACATGCACCCTTCTGCTTGTAAAACCATCCCATCTGGTCCCTGGATCTCCTGCAGTTGGCAGCTGGCAGGGCGACGGAGAAGCCCTTACAATGGAGCCTGTTCTGGTTGCCAGATGGGAAATCATCTTGCCAGCCATCCTGTGTCTTGCAGAAGCAGGTAGGACACTTTCCTAATTGGGGTATAATTCCTTGCTAATTTTCTTCTCAAAGGAAGCATCAAGTAATTAGGGTGATTTTTTTCCATGGTAACTGTTTGTTCAACTTCTTCCAAAGGTTGTCCATAAAGTCACCCTGATAGACCTAGAGAGGTGTTCTCTTGGGCAATAATAATAATATTATAATAATATGCTTTTTATTTATAGTTTTTGCACATTAACAGGGGTCCTGCCTCCCTAATCCTTGCAAAAGTGGATGGCCTGCTATACAATTGCTTATCACTTTTCCAGCACCCATAGGTCCCGTGATCACAGAGGGAAGAACTGAAGAATTGAAGTCAACCTTCCCCATCAGCATCAGCGGTGAGACGGCAGCTATGAAAACAAACCCTCCACCATGCATAATGGACACTAATGTGACTTATACTGTAACTGCCATCTCTAAAGGATACAAAATCTCATTTGCTGCAACAGTGATTGTTTCAGATAAGACCGTACTCAGTTCTGGAGGATGTGGCACTATTAGCCTTCAAATCCCTTTGCCCATCGTTGGAGCCCCTAACACAACTATTCTTGATACAACCACACAAGGGACTATTTCAGGAGGGTCTTTTGTCCTTAATACAACCAGCCTTGGTGCCTCCTCCTCTCCTTTTGAAGATACCACTAAAAATGCTCCCCCAAATATTATCAACACCGTTTCTGCAAAGACTCCTTCCATATTAGACACAACAATGGTGGCTCATAAAACTACTACAGCCCAAAATGGAGCTTTGACTATGGATATGTTTGATTTTCCCAAGCAACCCCTCTCTGATCAGGAAGATGTTAGTACACAACAAATGCTAGGAACAGAAAGTCCTGTTGGTACAATTACTGGGAAAACAAGCTTCTCAGGCCAGGAAGATACCACCATCACTCCCACACTTAGAGAGCCTTCATCCGATCCTCAAGGTAAGGAGAAAGAAAATGTATGATTTTCTCATTCTGAGTAGAACTTCACTTTACTTGTGAAAATATGTTGATTTTGTATTGTCAAAGGCTTTCATGGTCTGAATCACTGGGTTGTTGAAGTTTTTTCGGGCTATATGGCCATGTTCTAGAAGCATTCTCTCCTGACGTTTCATCTGCATCTATGGCAAGCATCCTCAGAGGTTGTGTACTGTGATGCCTGCCACAGATGCAGGCGAAACGTCAGGAGAGAATGCTTCTAGAACATGGCCATACAGTCCGAAAAACCTATGTTAATTTCGTCCTGGCCCTGCCATTGCAAATGCTGGTGTCACAGCAAATTGTTGGGGTTCTTTGTTCAGCAACAAGCCTACTCCCTTCTGCAGCAGAAGCACTTCCCCTCCAGTTAAGGAGCAGACAATTACAACTTGTATCTTTTGTAGAAAATGTAATACAGTTGTATTTACAAATGCCTAGCAGAGTTTCTTGACTCTCTTCCAGCCCTTCTTTCTACGCTTTACATTCCCAGTGAGTTCATACCTTCACCATAGTATTTAGCTCTTCTCTCTGATCTTCATTGGTCCTTCAATCTCTGTGTATCTCCAGCAGCTCAATACCTCCAACTCACACAACTCTTACTCCTTAACTACAGAGAAGCTTGTGCTTCTTTATTACTCTTCAGCAACTCCCCCCTGGCTGTAAATTACTGTATATAGTCAAGTCTAAGCCTATACTTATACTTGCGTATATACAGTTTTTCAGCCCCTTTTACAGACTGAAAAACTCCCCCTTGGCTTATATTTGAGTCAAGGTTATTTATTATTTTACTCTGTTGTTGTTGTTGTTGTTGTTATTATCATTGTTATATTTATTATTTACCCTATTTATTATTATTACATTTATTATTTTATTCAATTTATTATTATTACATTTATAATTTACTCTATTGTTTTTATTATTACGTTTACTAAAGGAAGGATATTGTTATTATTACATTTATTATTTTACTCTATTATTACTGTTATTATTACATTTCCATTATTTTACTCTATTATTTTTATTATATTTATTATTTTACTCTCTTTATTATTATTGGAAGGATACTTAAGCATATTTACATTGAAGAAGGTTTGTATCATAGTTTAATCAGAGTTGGACAGTCTTATCTTAAATTACAGTTTTATGTAAATATTCAAAAACATTTAACCTACTGATGCCTCAATTAATGTAATTTTATTGGTATCTATTTTTATTTTGAAATTTACCAGTAGCTGCTGCATTTCCCACCCTCGGCTTATACTCAAGTCAATCTGTTTTTCCATTTTTTTGGTGATAAAATTAGGTGTCTCGGCTTATATTCGGGTTGGCTTGTACTCTAGTATATACAGTACTTAGTGCTAGCCAGGTGGTTGAGTCCTTAATGCTTGCTGCTGGAGTGGATCTGATTCTTATAATCACTTATTGTCACTTCAGAAATGATATAAAGTTCCAAAACTCTGACAGTTGGAAGCAATCCTAAGGGAAAATTGAGAGCCAAAATGACAAATTGAAAGGCATCCAGAAGGTTCCACATGGGTTGCAGGATTTGTTAATGCTCTCTAATTTTAGCACTTGGACACGAAGTTGAATGAAACATATTCATAATATTAATCCATTCCAGAGAATCCTGCAACATGCTACCTGGACTGTGATGGTTTCCCAGCATGGGCTACAGTTCTTATTTGCTTGACAACAACATTCCTCCTTTTTACGCTTGTCGGTCTCCTGTTTTTGGTAAGTGATAGAATGGCCCGATCTGGACAGTTTATTCTCTGAATTTTCCAATACCATTGTACAGAATAGTATTTTGTTGCATATCCTCCAATATTTCACAAATGGAAGTGCATCAACACTGTAGAATTAATGACTCAATGCTATGGAGTCGTGGGATTTGTAATTTTTCAAGGTCTTTAGCCTTCTTGGCCAGAAGGCACTAGTACCTCACCAAACTTTAAATCCCATAATTTCAAAATATTTTGTCATGGCAGTTGATTTCACTTGCAATTTCAAAAGGGTCTTGGGAGGAGTGTTCATCCTACAACTAGGTGGTGTTAAGGGCATGGGGCTGGACTAACTGAATGCCGGTAGGGTCTATGTACCATTCTTGTGAGTGTGGATATTTTCTTTCTAAGCATGCAAAGCAAAATACCCTTCTTTGTTCTCTAGAAAAGCTGCAGCTCAGTTCTGTACAGTAGCTTCAAGGACTACAAAATTCTGTAACATAAGGAATGCTGAGTATCAACTGATGGGGAAGTATAGCTAGTCCTTCCCCTACATTTACTAGTGTTAGGTGCACAAAAGCCTTGCAAAAATGGAAAAACATAAAGAACTAGATCTGATCTGCTCCACAGTCCCGACATTTTAATGCCCATGAACATTATCCTCCCAACCCTACCTTCTGAATTTTGCACTTTCCCTTAACTCTGTCTTGGAATTTGCACAAACCCAGAGCCCTCTGAACTCAGCACTTTTATCGTTCTGTATGGTACTGTTTTTATGATGTTATGTTTTATTGTGATATGTTTTTATTTGGTTTTGTTTTGATGCTATCTTGTTGCGTTATGTTTTAACTTTGTGATCCCTGGGCTTGCCCCTTTGTAAGCTGCCCTTAGGGGAGATGGAGACTGGGTATAAAAATAAGTTGTTGTTGTTGTTGTTGTTGTTGTTGTTGTTTTTGTTGTTGTTGTTGATCCTTGGCACAACATTGCTCACTGGACTTCATAACTCATGTATCTTTACAAGTGGTTTGTATTCTTTTTTCCAGGTTCCTTACTGCATGAAGTTCAGGAATCCTCCTGCAATGACGTATAATTCATCCCCTCGATATTCTGCTTAGCATTTTTCCTCTGCAATATTTTGAGATGATTTAATACTAGTGAAAAACTATACAGAAGTCTCACTAATCACTATAATGTTTCCAAGTTGTCATTAAAATTGTTTTTGAAGTGGAGATGGATAATCATAAATACTGGTTAGCACCTTACTAATCAGTTATGACTTTGTAGCTGTTTCCCATTCCCATTTATCATGACGGTACCATTGGCATGATCATGAAGGCCCCTAAAGCCCACTTTAAAATCTAGACAGATGTATCAAGGGAAAGAATTCTGCAGTACCAGCAAGCAGGGTGCTGAAGGATCATATGTCTAGGCCACTCCCACCAGTGAGCCACAGTGCAATGTCAGAAACAGGAACCACCTCAGGATCTTCTCACAATTCCTCACACTATAGCTGGTAGAAGGGGGCTGGGTAGCTAGAGGAGTTGAAGGCCAAAACATCTGGGGACCCACAGGTTGAGAACCATTGCTCTATGTCTTCCTACCTTGACCTCTCAGTGATATTAATTGATACTCTTAGAAATACTCTAACTCTTCTTCTTTCCTTGAATACTCTCTCAAGCTTCGAAGATGTAGCTAGGTTAGATCAGCTCCTGAGTAACCTTCCCATCTTAGAATGGACCTCCTACAATAAAGCTTAATTTCTTTAACCAAGGTGTTGGTGTATATGCTCCTTAATTCAACATCTCTAAGCACTGCATGCATAATCTGATGGGCCTCTAATCTAATCTTCTTCCTGTGTCAGAAATGGACTTTCTGATTTTGTTTGAATGTAGTCACATCATGCTTCACCATTGATAAGGCCAGCTACCTCTGATTTGAGTTCAGCACCATCTGAAAGGCCAGAATTGTCTTCTGTTTTCCTATAGTATGTTACTGGCAGGGTAAGGGCTGGATGTCATGACCAGATAAAGTTTCCAGATGCTGTTAGCCTTCAAGTTTCCTCAGCCTTGGGTACTCTCGCCAATGGTGAGGAGTGCTCCGACTTGTAGTCCAAAACCGAGAATGCCATGATTCCTACCTTTTCCTCTCAACAGGAAGAAAGACTAGAGACTTAGAGTGCCTTTGTACAATCTGTTTATTTATAAATATACATATTGAGCAAGAGGGAAGATGCAAGCAGCCCAAGGGGGTAAAGGTTCAGCACAGCTTCCATTCTTCCCAAAAGGCAGCAGTACACCTTTTTGCAGATCTTCAATACTTTCTTTTGACAATAGGTTGCAAACCCTTGGATTTCTCTGTCCTTTGTGAGTTGCATTCAAGCTACACACTGTTTCTCTCCTGGAGACAATTTCATCCTACCCAAACCAGCTATGACTGTGACTACTTGCCAGCAAGCTCAATCTGAGAACTCAGGAAAAAAGGCTCCTTGTCACTCAAGGTCATGAAGCTCATTGGCTAAACGATTGCTCAGAATCATATTTAATTTTTCACACCAGAAAAGTCCAGTTCTTATGCTAACAGTATTTCCACTTGGAAATTTGTTTTGGGCCTTTGAAGCTATTTCAATTGTTTGCAAGTTTTGTCCCCTCTACAAGACAATGCTAATTATGTCACGTTCTAGCATGCAATAAATTGAACAAAGATGGAGTTTCTTAGCATGAATATAGGAGTCAAACGTATTTATTATCTCAGACTTGTAGAGAGATGGGATGTTAAAATGGCTAGAACTTCATTATGTGATACAAGAAGCCAGACAGTATATGGCTATTTCCCCAGAAAAACTACTCCATCATATGTACTTGATTAGTTTTCTCCTAGCTTGTAAACTGATATTTTGACAACTACATAGAAATAAAATGTTTGCTGACGTTACTCGTTGTCTAAGAACTTGCTGACCCTGGCCGTAAAATTGGAAGTTAACCAAAACTCACTCTATGTTCAAACAACATCCAGGGATTCTTGTAGGTTTTTTTGGGCTATAGGGCCATGTTCTAGAGGCATTTCTCCTGACGTTTCGCCTGCATCTATGGCAATCATGTAAGCACCTCTGAGGATGCTTGCCATAGATGCAGGCGAAACGTCAGGAGAAATGCCTCTAGAACATGGCCATATAGCCCGAAAAAACCCACAAGAACTGAGTGATTCCAGCCATGAAAGCCTTCGACAATACATTGAACATCCAGGGACTTCTAATCCTCAACTCAGGGTAAACTTAGGTGAACTGGTTTAGCCTTGCATTCAGCAAGGTCTGAGAATACTCCAGAGTGTTACCAAAACTGTGGATCAGCCCTGCAGTTTGGGCACAGTGTAAACACTACAGCAGATGGTCTCCAATGTGAGTCAGTTTGCTGTCCACTTGCCAGTGCAGATGACAAAAGAGCTCTGGGGAGCCATTGGCCATCACCAGACATCAACAAAGATGCTTCACAATTACAAAGAGGAGGATTGGTGATAGGAAAGGTACGTTTCACAATTCAACCAGGTTTTATGTATTGTCGAAGGCTTTCATGGCCGGAATCACTGGGTTGTTGCAGGTTTTTTCGGGCTATATGGCCATGTTCTAGAAGCATTCTCTCCTGACGTTTTGCCTGCATCTATGGCAAGCATCCTCAGAGGTTGAGAGGTCTGTTGGAAACTAGGAAAATTGTATTTATATATCTGTGGAAAGTCCGGGCTGAAAGAAATAACTCTTGTCTTTTGGAGGTAGGTGTGAATGTTTCAATTGGCCACCCTGATTTGATGGCCTAACAGTTTTAAGGTGTAGCTTGGTACTGCCTGGGGGAATCCTTTGTTGAGAGATGATTAACTGTCTCTGATTGTTTCTTGTCTGGAGTTCCTCTGTGTTTGAGTGTTGTTCTTTATTTGCTGTTAGAATTTTAGAGTTTTTAAATACTGATAACTGTTATAATTTAAATGCTGTTAGCTATTATAATTTAAATGCTGTTAGCTGTTATAATTCAAATGCTGTTATAATTTTACAGTTTTTAAATACTGATAGCCAGATTTTGTTCATTTTCGTGAACGAATAAAGAACAACACTCAGACACAGGGGAACAGCATTTACTCTTTATGAATTAAACTACTTAAAACAGAGCTGTGAGGGTTTTATGGGGCCCAAGCAAAAATAATTTTAGGTAAACCATTCTAGGAAATGCATGGCCATTGTAGCTGGAACGGTGTTTGGAAAAGTTGCGCTTGGAATACATGTCTCAGGATTCCCCAGCCAGCACTGCCATGTATTAGCCAGTTGAGATTTCTGTTTGCACCACTGGGAGAAGGATGCTGGAAACTGTAATTCACAAGTAATCAATTCCAAGCTGTGCCCCAGCTATGTCAGGCATGGGAAAAAAGATGGGAAATCCATTATCTCCAGCCATTGATCAGAGATACCATTATGGGGAAGCACTCAGTGTGAATGGTGACCACACAAGAGCTGCATGATGCCCCTGCTGGAATTTCCTTTGAACTTCAACAATAGATTTCAACAAAATGAAAACAAGGAATATCAGGGCAATTGATGGACTTGGTATCAGAGACTTCAGAGATCCAGTCTTTCTCATAAGAAACAATGACCCTGAGCACAGCTATAGTGCTCAGATTCTATTGCAAATGCAATGGCAACATCCAATAGAATCCTGGGATTTTTAGTTTATGGAAGGACTATTGTGAATTCTTTGCTAGAGAACTCTAGTGCTTTTCCCAACTATTAACCACAGTATTGTATAAGATGTAGCTATAACTGTTAAAGTGGAATAATATCAAAAGCTGAGCAGAAGGAAATCTCAACTTTCAAATCTGACTTTGTATGAATGCTAGAGCAATAATGGTAATGAATGCATTTACTCTTTTGTAGCCTTCCACAGTGAGTGGATCTCACTCTGATCTCCCTGATCCACCGACTTTGTGGTCTCCCTTTCCTGAAGAGGGTTACTCTCCAGGAATTGCTTTTTTCCTCTCCCAACCTCCCTTATAAAATCACCCACAGTCAACATTTTGCATAACATCTCCAGCCATCCATTACTTGGCACCACACTATTTCAACACAATCTTGAAGGAATACATCTGCTTATGACGTTGAGTAGGTGACCAAGATGTAGAATGTAATGTAATAGATGACCTGGGAAAGGTAGAGACAGAAAAAGTATCAGTTTACATCCAATATATAGCGATATATGGTATACCATGAAGCCAAAAAGTTGAACTCCCACATGCATGGACCCCAAACTTCTTCCTTCTGCTATAACCTCTTCATATGATTGTT